GGGAAGGTGCTGCATGTTCTTAACAACTCTTGAGACCTTCTGCTGCCCTGCTTCTCTCAGTCATAGGCTCTTCCTATCAACGCCTGGCCTCGCTGATCAACATCGTTATTTATCTTCTGCAGGATAGATACCTCCTCTTGGGCACCATCTCTTGGAAATTTCAAGACAATTCATGGAGATCCTACACATACAAAATTTGCTGGCTTAGGCCACAAGTCTCAACAGGTCTCATTTCTTCCTCTAGCTCCCTGATCCTGAGTTCAGCTCTTACTCTACCCTACCACCCATATCATCTACTCTTTCACTCTGTGTTTGCATATTTTATTTTATATTACACACACACACACACACTGCCCAGACCAGGGTCTCATGGGTTCTACAACTTAGCAAGAAATATCTGTTGTTGATAAATCAGAGCCTGGGGATTCCTGCTGTTTTTTTCCTGAGTTTCACCTGCTTCTATTGCCACATTACTTTCCAGCAGGTCTGCCCAAGTGTATGAAGGAATGTGTGCTTCCAGCAACACGTCAGTGTGCCTCTAGGACAGCACCTTTCACTCTTTTGCCAGGGGCCTGTTTGCTGAATGGTGAAGCAGGGAGCTTTCTGTCAGCTGCAGTCAGAACCCAGTTTGAAACAGGTTTTACTACTACCTGGTACAAAGGAACATCTGTAAGGGGCTCCAGGTCTTCACAGACAACACCAGTGATCACAGTTGGTGTGTTAGGGGAGCCTTGAAATAGCAGCAGGGACCAGGGCCTGTCCACAGAAGTCTTAGAGCACTCCTCAGCCCTTTATTTTCCCCTCAGCATCTCGTGAGGAGCCTTGAGTGACCCTGTCATGGTGTCTCCAGAACCCCTCCTTTTCCCTAAGTCCCATCCACGACTCCTTAGGACAATGGTTTCACTTCACTCCCACCTGGCCCAGGTCTTCTTGTCCATAGGACTATTATGACAGCCTTTGGTTGACGCCTCTCTGAAACCTAGGTGCCTATGTCTGTCTGCACGTTACCCCTACCCCGAGGACCAGTTTGCGTGTTGTCAATAGAAGGCAACACAGCTGGTCTGGTACGTCTCATTCTTTATAAATCCCTTTGTTCTTCTGAACCAGCTGGCTCCAGGGATCACACTTCCTTCTGAAACCCTGAATTGTTCCCACTGAACTTCCCAGAGGCCTTGTCATGAGGCTTTCCATGGTTCTATTTCTAGTTCTGGGCTCTGAGAGGGAAGGAGAATGAAACAAACGCTGCAGTCCTGCTCCCTGTAGAGCCCGAAGGTGCACAGTGTTGAAGGGCAGGAGATGGCACAGATGGGGCTGCTCCAAGACAGGATGAGTGTGAGGAGAGGGGAAAAGAGGCAGAGGACACAGCCCCCCAGGACCCTCACTGGTCAGGGGGAGGAGAAGAAGAGCCAGGAAGAGCCTTGGGAAGGTACCCAAGGCCTTCTAGTGTGGGTCCAAGAGAGGGTCCCAGGCTGCAGAGGGAGATAAGGGTCACTGATGACTTTTAGGAGACACTGCAGGTAACCCACTCTCATAATATCAGTGCCACAAAAGGAAGGGAAGAGGTGGCATTGACATGTAGAGGGTGGTAGGATGGTAGAAAGAACTGGTTTGGATCGCTTGTTTTGTTTTGTCATGGAGGTACATGTTGGTACACAGAGGGGGAGGCCCCCCAGAGAAAAGAAGAGATTGTAGATGCAAAAGAAAAGGAAATAATTGACAGAGCCAAGTCCTGCTGAAGATAACCATCACCAGGATGGTTGAAGCAGAGTGTGATTCCCCAGAGCACAAACACTGACAAACACTGATAAAGCTGGGTGGCAAGCTCTCAGCTTAGCCTAAAGGGGGTTAAACTCCTGTCCCCAAATCTGAATCTTGGGATCTTATCAGTGTGGAAGCCTGGAGCCCAAAGCAATGTGAGAAGGTGAAGGCCTGTGGGAGGTAAGCGAGGCTGGCTTGCCCACTCATTGCAGGCCCTGGGCCAATTTACTCATGCCGCTGTCTGGAAAGTCTGGAAAGAGGACATGAAGGGAACGAGAGAGAGAGGATACAGCCCCTCATGCACACACACTCAAGGCCTCAGGGCAGGCTTGAGTCTATTTTTCTTTCCGTCTCCCTTAAGGAAGAAATAGATGAGAAAGCAAGAACAAGGTGCCCAGGCCCTAAAATAGATGCTCCCACCCCTTCTAACTTCCTTCACTCCTGTTGCAGGGGTGCATATGAAAAGTAGAAGAAAGCTTCCAGCCCAAGGCCTAAAATTTGGTGGACCCTGACTTGGCTAACCGAACTTCCTAAGTCATCGACCTTAATCACAGGTGTGACTGGGGTCTGGGATCAACATGAGTGGCTCAAGAACTTAGAATTGTGCCAGGCTGTTCTAACATAAAAAGGCACTCTGCTGAATGAATGACTACCTGAATGTATTTGTTATAATGTATATTAGAAAATATATATATAACTAGCATGTTAATTCTATCAAGAGCATAAAAGACACTCTATCTCTCGAATAAGTGACTAAATATATTTACTGTACATTAGAAAAATATATAATTAGCATGTTGAACCCATGATTTCAAAAAAAGTATTGGTTAGGAAAGGCAAAGTGAAAAGAAGGAATTGATTTAAAGTTGATTCTGAGAAAGATATAAGTAAAATGATTAAAAGCAGTGCTTGGTACAGCAGATGTGGCAGTCATTGAGACCGAGGAACAGGCTCCCCCACTGCCTACATCCCCGTGTCACCCTTCTGCCTGGGGCGAGGGGGAGAAGAAGGAACTTCACTGAGCATCAGGCGCTGGGCGTGCACTTTGCGTAGGCATCGCCTTCAACTAGTAACAGCTTTCTCAATATCACCTCTTCAGAAGTATTATCAACCTTAGAGAAGTTAATTTGTCCAGGAGTAAGCAACTATAAATGAAGAGCCAGAATTCAAGCACAGCTCTGGCTGACCTCAAAGCTTGCTCCTTCCGCTATCTGCCAGCCAAGGAAAAGGGAGCAAGTGAATGTATAGAGAAATGTTCGGCGTTGGGGAAGAAGGATGAGGAAGTGTCCTGGGAGTTTCCCTGTCCCAGTGAAGTCAGTGGTGAGTCCATATGCTGAGCCACTGTAGGGGAGTTGATAAGAAACCACCCTGACTGAAGCTTTCAAGCTGATCTGATAGAAAATTCAAAGAAATAAAAGCACTGGAAAAAGGAGACCCTTAGAGAATAACTGTACAGCCGTCCATGACACTTTATGTTGGGAATTAACACAGATTTATCTATAGAAGGATATACTTTTACACTTATCCCCATATTTGAGAAAGGCCAAGTTTTCCCAATTTCCCCCTCTCACAGAGATCTCTAACACCTTTCTGCTCAAAGTATGGTTCATGGACAAGCGATAGGGTCACAAATCAGCCCATTTTGCCTGGAGCTCAGAGATTTCCTGGGACAAGGGACTTTCAGTGCTAAAACTTGGGTAGTCCTAGGATGTGTTGGTCACTCTAACCAGCAGCACCAGCAGCACCTGGGAGCTTGAATCTGCACTAGAACAAGATCATATGCACATTCAGGTTTGAGAAGCTCTTCTCTAGATTGCATAGTGGTATAATGGGTTGAATGGTGGCCCCCTAAATTAGTCAGTGTTCTCCAGAGAAACAGAATCAATAGGATCTCTCTCATATATATGTATGGGATATATATATATATATATATATACATATATATATATATATGTGTGTGTATATATAAAAATATATGTGTGTGTGTAGACATTTTTGAAGGAATTGGCTCATGCAATTGTGGAGGCTTGGTGAATCCAAAATCTGAGAGGAAGCCGTTGGCTGGAGAGTCAGGAAAGAATTCTGTTCGAGTCCAAAGGCAGTAAGACTGGAGGCCCAGGAAGAGCAGATATTGCAGATGAAGTCCAAAGGCAGTCTGCTGATGGAATTCCCTACTGCTTGACAGAAGTTTTGATCTATTCAAGCCTTCAACTGACTGGATAAAGCCCACCCACGCTATGGAGGGGAATCCACTTTACTCAGAGTCTACCATTATGCATGGAGAACTCATCCAAAACATCCTCATAAAAACATCCAGAATAATGTTTGGCCAAATATCCTGGTAGCATGGTCCAGCCAATTTGACACATAAAATTAACCATCACAGCCACCCAAATCCTTGGAACCTGTGTGTTACCTGAAGACAAGGAGATTATCCTGGGTTATCCAGGTAGACCCGAAATCCAATGACAAGTGTCCTTATAAGAGAAACACAGAGGAGAGACACATAGAAGAGGAGAAGGTCATATGAAAACAGAAGAGACTGGAGTGATGTGGCCACAAACCAAGTAAGCCTAGGAATGCCTGCAGCCACCAGCAGCTGGAAGAGCCAAAGAAGCATTCACCCCTACAGACTCCAGAGGGAATGTGATCCTGCTGGTGCCTTGATTTTTGACCTCCAGCTTCCAGAAGTATAGGATAATAAATTTCTGTTGTTTAAAGCCACCATTTGCAGTCATTTGTTATGACAGCTGCAGGAAGCTAATACAACTGGGAAATGGCAAGAAGCTCATCTATCTCACTTCTCTACTGCTGTGGCTGGTCCACACCTTGCACTCACGCACACACACAAGCAGGAGGCGAGAGGCAATCATCTCTTCCTCAGGACCTTTCATTTCCAGTCTCCTCCCACCTCCTGCCAAGGTCCCACTTTGCCCAAATAGCTCACTTCTGCTTCCTCGTGATAGTCAGCATCTATTGCCTGCACAGCACCTCAGGCCTGTATGCCTCACTCTTCAGACAGCACTAAAGATGCAGTCCTGATTCTCTTTTTCAGGCCTAGAAGGAAGGCCTTATTCCTTCTGCTCAGCCCTGGACCTACTTGCTGTCACTGTTTCTCAAGTCGGTACACATTTGTTTTAAGTATACTAGGAGTCAGGCACTCTTCAAAGTACGAGGGACACCTAGATGCCCCTGCCTTCCAGGAGTTCACTGTCTGCTCAGTTAATTTCCCAGCCTCTCACCTCTCTGAAAACATAGCTTGTGGTCACTGATTTCCAGAAATCTGCTTGGTGCCTGCTCCTCCTCCATCTCACAGGGTGCCAGGAAAGTGCTGTGTAGGATATTAGAACCGAAATTTAACTGCAGAGCCTCTTTCAAATGAGAAGTTTCATTTGTTGGTCTTTGCTGTCGAAAAAAACATGGCAAATTAAAGTAAGGCATGGAGGTGAATTTGACACGTGGAGTTACAAGTCGTTTCCGTTAAAGCCATAGACCTAAGGCCTAGTCTTGTTTATATAAGCAATAAAGAACAATGATGTTATATTTTCCAATCTAGAGTAGTTAGTTTACATAAACATTAATTCAGTTACTAGAAGATTGTGAGGTTAGGTCTGATTTCAAATCCTGTGTCTTTAAAAAAAATCATACTATAAAATCCACTCCAATAATCAGGATGTTTTATTAGTATAAATTTGTATTTATTTATCAACTTATACTCTTTGAGTACAGGTATGCCTCATTTTATTGCAATTTACTTTATTGTACTTTGCAGATATTGTACTTTTTACAGATTGAAGATTTGTTGCAACCCAAGTCAAGCAAGTCTATTGGTGCAATTTTTCCAACAGCAATTTTTCCAATGTGCTCACTACGTGTCTCTATATGTGACATTTTGGTAATTCTTGCAATATTTCCAGCTTTATCCTTATCATATCATATTTCCTTATCATATCTGTTATAGAGATCTGTAATCAGTGATCCTTGTTGTTACCATTGTATAATAATTGTTTTGAGGTGCCACAAATCATGCCCATATAAGATGGCACACTTAATTGATAAAGGCTATGTGTGTTCTGACTGCTCCACTTACCAGCCATCCCTCCTTTCTCTCCCTGTCCTTGGGTATCCTTATTCCCTGAAACACAATACTGAAATTAGGCCAAACACTACAATGACCTCCAAGTGTTCAAGTCAAAGGAGGAGTCACATCTCTCACTTTAAATCAAAAGCTAGAAATAATTGAGCTTAGTGAAGAAGGCATGTTGAAAGCTAAGATATGCCAAAAGCTTATACAAAGGAATACAAAGGAAAAGTTCTTGAAGGAAATGAAAAGTGCTACTTCAGCGAACATATGAATGATAAGCAAGTAAAACAGCCTTGTTGTTGATATGAGTGATCTGGATAGAAGATCAAACCAGCTACAAGATTCACTCAGACTTGAGGTCCCCAACCCTTGGGCTGTAGATCAGTACTATCTGTGGCTTGTTAGGAAATGGGCTACATAATAGGAGGTAAGTGGCAGGTGAGTGAGTGCAGCTTCATCTGTATTTACAGCTGCTCCCCATCCAGACATCACTGCCTGAGCTTGGCCTCCTGTCAGATCAGCGGCAGCATTAGATTCTCATAGGAGCTGGAACCTTACTGTAAAATGCACACGCAAGGGATCTAGGTTGCTTGCCCCTTATGAGAATCTAATGCCTGATGATCTGAGGTGGAGCTGAGGCGGCAATGCTAGTGCTGGGGAGCAGCTGCAGATACAGATTATCATTAGCAGAGAGGTCTGACTGCACAATAAATGTAATGCACTTGAATCATCCTGATACCATACCCCCACCCCCTGCACCTCCCCAGTCTGTGGAAAAATTGTCTTCTATGAAACCAGTCCCTGGTGCCAAAAAGGTTGGGGACCGTGGTCTTAAACCAAAGCTTAATCCAGAGCAAGGCCCTAACTTTCTTTGATTCTATGAAGGCTGAAAGAGGTAAGAAAGCTGCAGAAGAAAAATTTGAAAAAAGCAGAGAGGCTGGTTCATGAGGTTTAAGGAAAGAAGCCATCTCCATCACATAAAAGTGCAAGGTGAAGCAGCAAGTGCTCATGTAGAAGCTTTATCAAGTTACCTAGAAGATCTAGCTAAGATCATTGATGAAGGTGGCTACACTAAACAACAGATTTTCAATGTAGACAAAACAGCCTTCTATTGGAAGAGAATGCCATCTAGAACTTTCATAGCTAGAGAGGAGAAGTCAATTCCTGGCTTCAAAGCATAAGCTGACTCTCTTGTTAGGAGCCAATGCAGCTGGTGACTTTAAGTTGAAGCCAATGCTCATTTGCCATTCTAAAAATTCAAGGGCCCTGAGGTAGTATGCTAAATCTACTCTGCCTGTGTTCTATACACGGAACAACAAAGCTTGGGTGACAGCACATCTGTTTACAGTATGGTTTACTGAAAATTTTGAACCCACATTTGAGACCTACTGCTCAGAAAGGAAGATTTCTTTCAAGACATTACTGCTTATTGACAATGTACCTGGCCATCCAAGAACTCTGATGGAGGTGTACAAGGAGATGAATGTTGTTTCCATGCCTGCTAATACAACATCCATTCTGTAGCCCATGGATGGAGTAATTTTGACTTTCAAGTCTTATTATTTAAGAAATACATTTTGTAAGGCTGTAGCTTCCATAGAGAGTGATTCTGTTGATGGATCTGGGAGAAATAAATTGAAAACCTTCTGGAAAGAATTCACCATTCTAGATGCCATCAAGAACATTTATGGGCTGGGCATAGTGGCTCACACCTGTAATCCCAGCACTTTGGGAGGTCAAGGCAGGAGAATCACTTGAAGCCAGCCTAGGCAACATATAAAGACCCTGTCTCTACTAAAAATAAGAAATGTTTGTTAATGTTGCCACCATTGCAGCACCTAGGGATAAAAAAGCTGTGAGTTTGAAGAGAAGTCTTAACCTCTCCAAAGATCTCTTTGCTCTTAATTTCAAGAAAAAGGGGAATGTAAAGTAGTCCACTAAGGTGGACCATGCCACATGGCTGAAAATTAGGGTTGCCCAGGCCAAGGCTTGTCACAATTCTGTCATTCTGTAAAGCTTAGCCTTAAACAGACCAGGGCTTTGCCCGATTAAAAACTGTATCTTCTGCTTTATCTAAGGCTAAACATATTTCTCTTGTTCCAGCCAGTGACCATATCCAACCACTTTATCCTACAAAAAAAATTTGATTGTAAGCATCCTCAAAATGCATATGCTTTCATTTAAAAATGTTTATTTACTGATTCACAAAGTAATAATTCTCATTGTAAACTATGCAAAATACAAAACATATAAATAAGCATGAAAAAGTCAGTCACCCATCTACAATAAGGCAATAATTGCTAATATCCTAATATACTTCCTTTAAGTTCTTTATGTATTTTTTCTTCCACATAATCACAACACCATATCCAATTTTGTGCCTTGCCTTCTGATTCACATGGTTTCATATTTATCCATGAGTTCTCTCATTGCAAATGTTATCTTGCTTTTTTTTTGTTTTTTGTGTTTTTTTTGAGACAGAGTCTCACTTTGTTGCCCAGGCTAGAGTGAGTGCTGTGGCGTCAGCCTAGCTCACAGCAACCTCAAACTCCTAGGCTCAAGCGATCCTCCTGCCTCAGCCTCCTGAGTAGCTGGGACTACAGGCATGCGCCACCATGCCCGGCTAATTTTTTTGTATATATTTTTAGTTGGCCAATTAATTTCTTTCCATTTATAGTAGAGACAGGGTCTCGCTCTTGCTTAGGCTGGTTTCGAACTCCTGAACTCGAGCAATCCAGCCGCCTCGGCCTCCCAGAGAGCTAGGATTACAGGCATGAGCCACCGCGCCCGGCCGCAAATGTTATCTTGAATAACTGCATAGTAATTTATAGAAACATCAAAATTTACATAACTCATAATCAAAGTATGGCATGTAGGTTGAGAAGCTTGTCACTCTCGACACAAGCCATCTGAGTAGAGTGACAGGATGGTGTGATTGAAACAGCAGTGGCATTACAATCAAATTCTAGATGTGAGACCTGGGTCAGCCACTTGTTCCTGCTTGTGTGACTTTGGGCAAACTACTTAATTTATCTGAATCTAAGTTCCTTCCCCCATGGATATAACAGAGCCAGTAACGTCTATTTCACTGGGTCATTCTAAATCAGGAGTTGTCAGACCACAGCTCAGGGGCCAATTCCAGCCCACTACCCATTTTTGTAAATAAAGTCTCAATGGAACATAGCCATCCTCATTCATTTATACATTGAGTATGGCTACTTTAGCACTACAAGGGCAGAGTGGAATGGCTGTGATAGAGACATGGCCTGCAAAGCCTAAAACATCTGGCTCTATATAGAAAAAGTTAGATGACTCCTATCCTAAATAATGGACTGGAAAGTAACTATGTAGACAGAAGAAGCTTACCCAAATGTACGAGATTATTCATAGCAGAGCTCTCAGACCACAGCAGGCATTCACTAAATATTTGTTCAAAGGAAGTGTAACCAGATGGAGAATTTTATTCACCAGAATTCCTGCATTCTGTAGGATAGGTCAGATTTGGGGAGAAACATGAAGATGGAAGTGATTCAGAAAAGCAGCAGGGAGAACCCTGTGGAGAGAAGGAGAAATGGAAATTTTAACATCTAGGACACTGTGGGGACAAGGAGAACTGTGTGAAAAGGTTTCAAAGCTTTCTGAATAAAATTCCTGTGCAGTCCAATTAAAGTAATTCATAGTAAAGATCAACACTATTCTTTATGACTTTCAGAGTAAGACCAGTGTTTATTTCTTTCAATTCAGTGTAGGGATTAGATCACAAGGAATATAGCTTTCAAATAGATTATCAAAGGAATGGGATAAAAACAAGTCACTCTGCCAGTATATGCACAGAAGCTATGTAACTGTCATTCTCCATGTCCTCCTGTCACTCATTTATCATGCAGGCTAGGAACATAATTGTTTTGTTTTCCTCAAAGAAACTTTCATTTAACAAGCTCCATTACCAGTTTTCTTTCTTTATAATAATAGCTTTATTGTGTTACAATTCACATAACATACAATTCACCCATTTAGAGTGTATGATTCAATGGTTTTTAGTATGTTTGTAGTGTTGTGCAACCACCATCACAATTAATTTTAGAACATTTTCATCACCACAAAAAGAAATCCTGTACCCATTTGTAATCACTCCCTTTTCCCTACAAATATTTTAACCCAGTCAACCACTAATCTGCTTTTGGTCGCTCTAGATTTGCCTATTATGCACAAAATCATATATGTGGTCTTTTGTGACTGGCTTTTTTCACTTAGCATAATGTTTTCAAGGTTCATATTATAGCATTTATCAGTACTTCACTCCTTTTTATTGCTGAATAATATTCTCTTATATGAATATAGCACATTTTATTTAATTATTCATCATTGATGAAGGTTTGTGTTGTTTCGACTTTTTGCTGATGTGAATAATGCTGCTATGAACATCTGTATACAAATTTTTATACATGGTAATATATATTTTCATTTCTCTGGGATATATACCTACAAGCAGAATTGCTGTGTCATATGATAATTCTTTTCCTGAACCCACTCCAGCATTGGACATTTTAACTTAATTTTTTACTTTGCTAGTTTCAGAGGCAAAAATATTTGCATTTTCTCAAATAGTAATAAGATAGGGATTTGGTTGAGAGGTGCTCATTAATTCTGTATTTCTTTCTTTGTGAGTTCCCTAGTCCTACTATGCCCTTTTTCCTTTTTTTGAGACAGCAGCTCATTCTGTTGCCTGGGCTAGAGTGCGGTGGTGTCACCACAGCTCACAGCAACCACAAACTCCTGGTCAAGCAATCCTCCTGCCTCAGCCTCCTGAATAGGTGGAACTATAGGCATACATCATTATGCCTGGATAATTTTTGTAAGTTTTGTAGATACAGGTCCTCACTATGTTGCCCAGGCTGGTCTGGAACTCCTGGCCCCAAGAAATCCTCCTGCCTTGGGCTCTCAAAGTGCTGGGATTACAGGCGTGAGCCATGGTGCCTGGCCTACTCTGCCCCTTTTTCTATTGGAAGGCTTATTTTTTCCCTGCTGAGTTGTAAGTTCTCAAGTGAGGTCCCAGAGGCAGTCTATGGTCAGTGCATTAAATATTGGATATTTTTATTGGGGGGAGGGCATGTCTGTCAAGATTAACCAAAAGGAAGTGAGAAAGCATAACTATTATCCATGAGACCCACTCCTTTCTCTGCTTGAAAAAGAGAATCCTATGTTGGCCCACTCAGAAGTACTCTCTCCAGTCCCCTCCAAAGAGGGTCCAGCTGGGCTTTAGTGGTAGAGACTAAAAAAGGAGGGAGGGGATAAGAGGACTCTTTTTTCAGGGTTTTTCGTTAAGAGAGGAAAAAGAGGCCGGGCGCTGTGGCTCACGCCTGTAATCCTAGCTCTTGGGAGGCCGAGGCGGGCGGATTGCTCAAGGTCAGGAGTTCAAAACCAGCCTGAGCAAGAGCGAGACCCCGTCTCTACTACAAATAGAAAGAAATTAATTGGCCAACTGATATATATATATAAAAAATTAGCCGGGCATGGTGGCGCATGCCTGTAGTCCCAGCTACCCGGGAGGCTGAGGCAGAAGGATCACTCGAGCCCAGGAGTTTGAGGTTGCTGTGAGCTAGGCTGACGCCACGGCACTCACTCTAGCCTGGGCAACAAAGCGAGACTCTGTCTCAAAAAAAAAAAAAAAAAAAAAAAGAGAGGAAAAAGAGCAGACTGGGTGTGAGGAAACGGATAGGAATGAAAGGTAGAAATTTAACAAAAAATGTTAAGGGTCATATATGCCTTTTATTGTATTTAAGAAGAAATATAATAAAATTTTGAGTTATTTAAAGATTTCTCTTTTATGGCCCAGTTGGTTTCTCTGATTGTGACAATGCTTTAAGTTCAGACTGTGGCTTGCTTCATAATCTGTAAATATATGATGATTAACTAAGAATTTCTAGGCCTGGCGGGGATTCTTTCTAGTAAAGCTTTACTTTAGTGGAATGTAAAGTTGTGTAGCAGATAAGGCTAGGGTGCTCATGTGTTCAAATGACCATTTACCAATGAAATGGAGAGTCCTGTTTGACAACAAGCAGATCATCAGTCAGTATCCCTTGCCACCAATCTGGCTGTGAGAGTCCCTGAGAACCAAAAAACCCAAGGTTCATCCTTTATATAATGTAGCATACTTTCTATTCTAATGTAGCTTAGATAAAATGCAACGATGTTGATTTTCCTTCAATCTCATGAAGCTAAGGGTTCTAAATATCTTGAGGTCTGTAACTGTTAAGAAATCTTGAAAAATCCTCTAGTTTAATCCTTTTATTTTACTTCTTTGATCAAAGTAGTATATCAATAAATGTTTTGTACGTACCTATATATTAAAATGATGTGATAAAGACTATTGAGATTTTGACTGTAGTTTTTGTTTCTATCTTTAGAAACTCAGAAAAAAATTTTTCTGGTGGAAAATAAAATCACTGGGTGGAATGGTATATCAAAAATCGGGAAGTGGCCGGGCGCTGTGGCACACGCCTGTAATCCTAGCTCTTGGGAAGCCGAGGCGGGCGGATTGCTCAAGGTCAGGAGTTCAAAACCAGCCTGAGCAAGAGCGAGACCCCGTCTCTACTATAAACAGAAAGAAATTAATTGGCCAACTGATATATATATATAAAAAAAAAAATTAGCCGGGCATAGTGGCACATGCCTGTAGTCCCAGCTACCCGGGAGGCTGAGGCAGAAGGATCACTCGAGCCCAGGAGTTTGAGGTTGCTGTGAGCTAGGCTGACGCCACGGCACTCACTCTAGCCTGGGCAACAAAGCGAGACTCTGTCTCAAAAAAAAAAAAAAAAAAATCAGGAAGTAACAGATGCCAACTGTCCTTCCACTTTCAAGCTACTGTCTAGGAACACAGGAAGAATTCAGAGCCACATTTTTTTTTCTTCCTTTTCAGAGAGGTGGGGCTTAAGATTTAGTCTGGAATTCAGATGCCTATGGATGACTGCTCTGTGGCAGCTATCCCAAGAGAACAAACAGCTGCTCTGCTCATTATTTCAAACCACACCAGGAGAGAAGCTTGTGCCTTCGACATGGAAATCAGTATGTATCCTCACAGGGAGTCGTGCTTTCAAGGACCTCATGTAAGTAATTTGGGATCTGACAGAACTTTATTACTGAAATTGCAATGAGAAAAAGAGGAAAATCACAAGGAGGAAGAAGAAAGCTTTGCTTTGAAATCTATCACATCCATTATTTTTTTAAATGTCTTTTTTGTTTATTTGTTTTTTACTGCTAACTCAGGTTAGTCATTCCTTGGCTACTATTTGTTTCTTAGTAACTGTGCTTTTAAAACTCATGGTCTCTTTGCATTTCCAAACTGAATGCTGAATTCCTCCAGATTCCTGACATCAGATAAAGTGCGTTTGCTTTTACTTTTTGAGTTCTTTGTCTGGTAAATAGTTTATTTCCAAAAGATGCAATGTTTGCTGCAACTATTTTAATTTTTTCCTTTGCTTTTGAACCACAGCATTTAGAGCTGCCTAATTTGTACTTCTTTCCCCCCATTTTATTTAGCTAGTCATTATTAGACTGACAACATTGGCAGGGGGAGGGAGGGTGTCTATTTACTCTGAGTTAATTAGTATCTAAGTCAAATAAAAAAGAAATTATCATGTTTATCAATAGATAAATGTATCATATAGTGTGCTATACTATAATGTAGTTTATTATTTTATTTTATTTTATTTTTTTTTGAGACAGAGTCTTGCTTGTTGCCCAGGCTAGAGTGAGTACCGTGGCGTCAGCCTAGCTCACAGCAACCTCAAACTCCTGGGCTCAAGCAATCCTGCTGCCTCAGCCTCCCGAGTAGCTGGGACTACAGTACAGGCATGTGCCACCATGCCCCGCTAATTTTTTCTATATATATATATTAGTTGGCCAATTAATTTCTTTCTATTTATAGTAGAGACGGGGTCTCGCTCTTGCACAGGCTGGTTTCGAACTCCTGACCTCGAGCAATCCGCCTGCCTCAGCCTCCCAGAGTGCTAGGATTACAGGCGTGAGCCACCGCGCCCGGCTATAATGTAGTTTATTTAACCTAAATTTTTATTGAGGCATATGGAAATGCAGATGTTTTAGGAAATCATCATCACATTTCAATTGAGTGGTTAAAATATATATATATTCATATATATCCAAGTAAAAGATGATCTATAATTAAGGAATGGCTGATAGAAACTTTTCAATCAGATGATGTCTTTCTGTAATTATTTTCAACACAATTAACACTAATGCAGTCACAGACCTAACTTCAGTTTGCTTTCTTCAATAAGAATTTATTATTTTTTATATTTAAGTGGCACTTACACTTAAATTTAAATCCAAGCTCAGACTTTCTTAGCTTCTAGCTGGAACTTATATGTTTTTTTCCTCATGTAGTTAATGAAATCTAAGAAGTGGTTGTTTCTAGTTACAAAGGAAATAGTTGCTGTAATTCATCTCTCCACCCATTTTTCATATCACTGACTTTTAAAAAATTCAGTTTGAAATTACCATTTCATTCACCTGCCTAATGTTGGTGGTTTCTATGACCACATCAACTCTGAAATACTATATGTGGCCTTTAAGTTACCTTCTAAGGTACTCTCCCACTTAACTAACAATTCTAATCATATTTTCCAGTATCTCTCAAAAAACTTTCCTCCTGTCAGGCTGGTCTCCCCTGTAAGCTATTCTCATTCCCATTTTACATGGTGTCCCAAAAGCTACCATACATAGGGGAAATGGGAAATTGCATATTTTGTAAATAAAGACACATTTAGCTATGGTTCCCCATTTCCCTATGTATGGTGACTTTTGGGACACCCTGCATTATCTTCAAACACATCATGTTCTCTTCTAGGAAAATACTCCTTTAAAATGTAAAATTGATAGGATTTCAGGGCATATTGAATGTGAAAAGGAGAAATCAAGGTCTCCGAAATTACTGGGTAGATGATAATACCATTCACTGAGAATGAGAATGGAGGAGAAAGCCCAGGTTTATGGGAAAGAGGAAAACTTAATTTTGGATGAGTTGATTTGAAGGGCCTGTGGAACACATCCAAATAAAGGTGTCCTATAAGAAGTTGAGTATTTGGGTTTGGACTGCGAAGACTAGGCTAGAGATTCAGATCCATGAATAATTTTAAATGATTGTTAAGCCATGCAAGTAGATGAGACCATGCTGGGTATATTCTAAAATGAGATATAAGGAAAGCTAAATACAGAATCCTACAAAATATTAACTTTTATGTAGGGGTTTGAGGAAATATCACAGCCAGAGAGGTTGGAGGTAGTCAGGAAATCAGATACCTTGGAAGCCCACTATGTAGAATATCTCAAGAATGAGGCAGTGACCAACAGTGTGAAAAGGGGGGATTAAGAGAAGAGAAGCTGGAGGGCAGTAAAGACTAGGTGCACGGGCAGCTGGAAAAAGTGAGTTGGAAAAGAGGGAACATTCCAGGAAAGTACCAGTGAATATTTAACGTAAAGTGCCAACAGACTGAAGTCTCTGGGTTTCCATAGAACTTTACATCCTATTAAGTTAAGTTTAATAATGTCTAAGAGTTTAATTGTCTAACACTTAGACAACTGCTATATGAAAAAAGAGAGTTATGAATAAAAAGAGAGTTTATAAACATAAAAGAGTTATGAATTGACCAAGACTAAAAGTATAACAAACTGGGAGCCAGGGACAGGAAAATCTGGTGAAACAGGTAGGGCAAGAAATGTAGTTGAGTGCTTTGGGCTAAGAGTGAACAGTGTATTTTGAAATAGATGTAAAGTTTATGGAGTGAATTATGCCTATCACAAATCTCTTTCTCCAGATCCTCAATCTCAAGAAAATGTCCTGTGGGTGCTGCAAACTCAACATTTTCAAAATTAGAGCTCATTATCTTCTCACCTGCTCTACCCATCTTTAAATCTGCTTCTCCTCTATTTCAGATAACAGTATTCCCTGTCACCCAGTTGTCTGAAGCAGAAACCTCTCATTTCTGTCATCAAGTTCTGTCCATTGTTTCTCTACATTCTTTCAATTCTATCTTCTCATTCTTAATTCCCATCACTACTGTTTTAATTCAGGTCCTGAAATAGTATTCCTAACTAGTATACCTTCTTCTAGTCCTTCCTCTTTTTTCCAATCCATCTTCCATAATTCTAATTATGCAAATCTGATCTCCCTGATTAAAAGCCCTCCCAATCATAGTGAGGAGAAAGTCTGACCTCCTTAGCATGACATCATGCAAGACCCTTGCTGACCTGGCCTTTACTCCACATCTTAGCTGCATCTCCAGTTACTTTCTGCCTCCATTTCTTATAACATCACCAAATTTCTCCTTGCTCTTCAACTCATCAAGCTATTTAAAAAAACAATTTTTTTTTTTTTTTTTTTTTTTTAGAGATGAGATCTTGCTATGTTGCCCAGGCTGGTCTCAAACTCCTGGCCTCAAGTGATTCTCTTGCCTTGGACTCCCAAACTGCTGGGATTATGGGCACCACCATGCCCAGCCACCATTCTCTTTTATGTTTGATTCATTATAAAGACTGAGCAACAGTACTGCACTACTAAGATCATAAGCCTAGATAGTGGAAGGTGGCTGACTGGGGAAGATGAATACAAGTGACTTGTCCTAGCCATAGAAAAAAGAATAGGGGCCAGGCACGGTGGTTCACGCCTGTAATCCTAGCACTCTGGGAGGCCGAGGCAGGCGGATTGCTCAAGGTCAGGAGTTCGAAACCAGCCTGAGCAAGAGCCGTCTCTACTATAAATAGAAAGAAATTAATTGGCCAATTAATATATATAGAAAAAATTAGCCGGGCATGTTGGCCCATGCCTGTAGTCCCAGCTACTGGGGAGGCTGAGGCAGAAGGATTGCTTGAGCCCAGGAGTTTGAGGTTGCTGTGAGCTAGGCTGATGCCACAGCACTCACTCTAGCCTGGACTACAAAGCAAGACTCTGTCTCAAAAAAAAAAACAGGAAGAAAGAAAAAAGAATAGGAATGGCAATGAATCTTTGGTAAGTGATGTGATCCTCCTTTGACTCAATACTTATTGACTGTTTCTTTTTTTTTTTTTTAAGACAAAGTCTCTGTTGCCCAGGCTAGAGTGCCATGATATCAGCCTAGCTCACAGCAACCTCAAACTCCTGGGCTCAAGCAATCCTTCTGCCTCAGCCTCCTGAGTAGCTGGGACTACAGGCATGTACCACCATGCCAGGCTAATTTTTTCTATATATTTTTAGTTGTCCAGCTAGTTTCTTTCTATTTTTAGTGGAGACTGGATCTCACTCTTGCTCAGGCTGGTCTTGAACTCCTGACCTTGAGCGATCCATCTGCCTCGGCCTCCCAAAGTGCTAGGATTACCAGCGTGAGCCACCATGCCTGGCCTGTGTTTCTTAAACGAGGTATGATTCAAAGAACTATCAGGGAGGCAAGCATACCTAACAGGGCTAAATTCAAGGAATTTACGATCTAATTAAAGAATAGGTCCTATATAGGGAGGTGACTAATGTGACTCATTTTCTTGGGTTCCTTATAATACATTATATGCATAATTTTACAGTCACAAATATATACATTCAAAGACACCAGGTAATTAATAACAGGTAAGAAATGGATAGTGAAGACAAGTGCTACAGGAATTCAGAGGAGAAAAAGATTATTTTGGGATAGGGTTCAGAGTAGGTTTCACAGCAAAGATAGCATTTGAAGCCTGAGTAGGCTGGGGTATGTATCCAAGGATTTATCTACATAGAAGTCAAAATGGAAGGCTTGAGAGTGAATGAAATTCTAAAAAGGAGCAGAAGCTAATCATAAGAGAATGCTCATGTTTAAGAGCATGAAGAGGGTAAGGGAAGAAAAACAGAAATGATTTGAAAGGTAGAATTAGATTGATTCCAGAGTAGGAGCATGAAAGACATGAGAAGAGAGAGGTTGGGGCCTTCTCTTCATGCTTAGGCTTTATAGATGTTAATTATGCATATTTGGATGAGTCTTAGGTACCCATGTAGGTGTTAAGAAGCCCACCTAAGTACTCCAAAGGTATGGCCATGTGGGAGCCCAGCTCATCCTTAGCTGCATGCTGACCACAAAATGTGGGCTATTATTCCTCAGCTTCAGGGGTATTGGACTAGTACCTTGGCTGTTTGCTTAGCCTATGCTGGGAAATCACGAAATTTACCCACAGGCTTGTTGTTGGTACAGAGTACTGTTGATCTTAGCTATTCCTTTAAAGTCCAAAAGAACATATTTCCCATATAACTTTTAATAAGCAGTTATTTTAGAACATAATTATGTTGATCCAACTTTTAATAACAAAGTTAAAGGCAAACTAGTTTTTAATATTTTTCTAGTTCTGGAATAGCTGTGCCAATTAAACTTTCTGAACTTCTATTAGTCAGAGATGACTGAGCCCTCTTGGGCTTGCCTCATTTCCCTAGCAGCCAGAAAAGAAATAAAATAATTTATTGGTTTAAAATATGAAACTTCCATAGTCCATAAAGAAAAATATATTTGGCTGGGCGCAGTGGCTGATGCATGTAATCCTAGCACTGTGGGAGGCTGAGGCAGGAGGATTGCTTGAGCTCAGGAGTTCGAGACCAGCCTGAGCAAGAGTGAGACCCCATCTCTACTAAAAATAGAAAGAAATTAATTGGTCAACTAAAAATATATAGAAAAAATTAGCCTGGCATGGTGGCCCATGCCTGTAGTCCCAGCGATTCGGAAGGCTGAGGCAGAAGGATTGCTTGAGCCCAGGAGTTTGAGGTTGCTGTGAGCTAGGCTGACACCACGGCACTCTTGCCAAGGCAACAGAGTAAGACTCTGTCTCAAAAAAACAAAACAAAAAAAAACAACAAAAAAAGAAAAATACATTTTAAAATCCTAATAAAGGGCGATATTTCACAAAAACAAACACAAAGTCATTAGATTTATTTGTACCTCTCTTCTATAATTGGAAAAGCTAGCACAGGGATAGTTCACTGCTATATGTGCTCTAAAAGCTGACTGGCAGGCATGATAAACTGATTAGTAATTGGGGCTATGAATAGTGATTAAATGGTCCTGAAATAAGAATTTTACAAAGGATTCTCTTCTGGTTATAAGTATCTTAATCAGTACATTTGTAAGCATACCTCTTAATTTCATGCTCTTGTGATCCTAAAATTGACCAATACACTTGAGGATGTTACTGAATTATTTTCAGCCAATATAATCTAATCCTTACATACTTTTCCTAGAGGAAAAGAACTGCTTTCCCTATGTGGTGTAGCCTCATAAGGTTACTTGGTGCAACAGGAGCAATTCTTTTTCTGGGGAGGCTATGAGCAATCTGGCTTATGTAGTGATATCTGGTTTGAACAGTGATGTAACCTCAGGTAACTTTGCCTTTTGTGCTTTGGTCTTTTTGTCTATAAAATGAAGGTTATAGAATCTTAATGTTAATCATGACAACATTAAGATGTTGTTATGAGTACTGAGTGAATATAGGTAAAGTACAGAGAGGCAGAGACTTTATAATAATTAAGTCACCAAATGAAAGAACAAGACAAGTTCCTGTTACAAGAAATGTTTCCAAAGAGGCCAAATGAGCATCTGTCAGGGATGCTGTAGAAAGGGTTTCCCCTTTGATGAGAAGGTTGGATTTGATGATCTCTTAAGGCCTGGGGGTCACTGATAGTCTAATAATGCCCTTAATGCTTGAAGTTATATTTATGCTTATAGAGTAGTCTACAGAAAAATCTAATTTTTGTTATACTACAAAGCCATAAATACTTTTTTGCAGTTTATAGAGTCCTCAGACTAGAGTCAAATGAAGCCAAATCAAACAAAACTTAACTCATGGGGAAGATTTTTGGTATGTTAATTCACACTGTTAAATAGCAATCCAGCAATAGAAACCCAGAAATGTAATATTATTTACTCATAGAAAAGTGATCTCAAAAAGAAGAGAAAATGCCTCCTAAGGCTCTTTGCTGCAACCTAATCTCAAGAAAACATAGAAGGAAATACTAAAAAGAAGGTCATTTCATTTAAGGTTAAATGATTCCATGAACACAGAACTACCTGACTATATATGGAAATATAAAATTCACAATATTGGTAAAACAAACCCAAAACTTAGAAGTGGCTTAGTAAGTATGCATAAATTCTCAAAATGTATTACCTATTGTTAAAAGTATTTATACTTATAGTTACATTATTCCTAGCTGTAACGTTAAGCATTAAGTATTTTTAAAACATACTGTAGTATAATTTACAAATAAAAAGTCACATGTTAAATGTATATCCAAATTTTTAGAAACTAAACATTCTGGGTGTAAGCAACACCCAGATTTTAAAAACTGAACATTAAACATTATTTCTGAAGTTAATTTTCTTAATTTTCAAGAGAAAAAAATTAATGTTCTACTCTGGGTATTTAGTGGTATGGCATGTAACGTTAAAAGCAATATGCCGACCAGGTGCAGTGGCTCACACTTGTAATCCTAGCACTCTGGGAGGCCGAGGCAGGCAGATCGTTGAAAGTCAGGAGTTCGAAACCAGCCTGAGCAAGAACAAGACCCTGTCTCTACTAAAAATAGAAAGAAATTAATTGGACAACTAAAAATATAGAGAAAAAATTAGCCGGGCATGGTGGCACATGCCTGTAGTCCCAGCTGCTTGGGAGGCTGAGGCAGGAGGATTGCTTGAGCCCAGGAGTTTGAGGTTGCTGTGAGCTAGGCTGACGCCACGGCACTCACTTTAGCGTGGGCAACAGAGGGAGACTTTGTCTCAAAAAAAAGCAATATGCCTATCTTGACTTTTAAATGACTTTCGATACCACTTGTGGTAGGCAGAATAGTAGCTCCCCAAAGATATCCACATCTTTTTTTCCCTATTTTTCACCCTGTCTCACTCCTGATATCCACATCTTAATCCCTGGAACCTGTGAATATGTTACCTTACATAGCAAGAGGGACTTTGCAGATATGGTTAAGGATTTTGAGCTGGGAAAATTATTCTGGTCTATTGGGTGGACCGAAGGGAATCACAAGGGCCTTTTGAAGTGAGAGAGAGAAGCAGGGGAGTCAGAGATGTGACAATGGAAACAAAGGGCAGAGGGGCCACAAGTGAAGGAAGGTGGGCATCCTCTAGAATAGTGGTGGGGAACCTTTTCATGTTGGAAGTCCACATTAATTTAGCTGTAATCAAATAATGTCACATTCAAGAAACTTCAATTAGATATACTTAAAATGCACATTATTTTTGTAAAAATCTAATTACTATGTACTTAATTTCAAAAATGAAAACTATTTGTTAATTTTAATGTTAACTAACCTTTTAATGACTTTGTTGTGTCTGCTTTTTGCTGGAAAGCATTTGTATATTTGGT